TTGCACATCTGTATTTGTTTATCTGAGTAACCAATATGAAGATAACAGCATGTAATACAGCATCCATTGCTAATTTCTTTTTCACCTCATCTGAAATTCTGTGTTGTTTTTATGTTGTTTCATTTACGCCTGCATGTTTGTTAAGATGTTTTGGTTCTGTTATTTCTAAAAATAAAATTTAAAAAATATGGTTTGTATTATCCAGCCGTAAAGAAAGACAAACTGGAGAATTTTATAGGTAAATGGATGCAACTCAAGACCATACTCATAAGTAGAACAAATCAATCCCATATGTGTAAAAACACCAGATTTTGGCAAAGATTAAAAATGAGTAGTAGAAACATGCAGGTGATAGTTTCTGCCTAATTTAAGAATTGCATCAGGCTGTGAACAATTAAAAATATTTTTAAAAATATGTGATGTTTTAAAAACAACTTTACTAGGCCCTAAACTATTTACAAAAATTGCATTTGCTTAAATTGTACAATGCGATCAACTTTGACATGTGTGCATGGATGCCTGTGAAATAACCATAATCAAGATAATGAATATGGCCAACATTCAAAAGCCCCCACCATAATCATTTTCTTTCCCCTGCGCTCACAAGCAATTACTGAAGTTTTCTCTCGCTATATTTTATATTTTTTCTAGAGACTTATATAAATAGAATCCCATAGTGTAAACTTTTTAATTGGGGCAGGAGCTTGTTTAACTTAATATGATTATTCTGAGATTCATTTATGTTGCCTATATTAATATTTTACTTGCTTCTATTACCAAATTGTATTCCATTATATAAATTATCCACATTTTGCACATTTAAAACATTTAATCTCTTGTTGGATATTTAGATTGTTTACAAGTTTTGGCTATTATAAGTAAAGTTTCTACAAACATTTGTGTGAGTCTGTGTGAACACATGTTGCTATTTCTCTTGAGAAAACAACCAGGACAGAAATGGCCAGACTGTGTAGTAGAATGTATAGTTTTTTACAAAACTGCTAACCTATTTCCTAAAGTGATGTAGCATTTTATACTCTGACTGAGAGCTGTCAGAGTTGAAGTTGTTGTATATCCTTGTCAACACTTATTATGTTCAGCCTTCTTAATGTTAGTCACTGTGCTGGTTAGTCATCAGTTATGTTGGGCATCTTTTCACGTTTATTTGCCATCAGTATATTCTCTAGTGAGCACATTCTTTTTCTCTCTTTGTGTTATAGTTAAGATTTTTTTTTCCAATCTGAGTATTACTAAGTGATTCCTCCGATTTTCTTGTAGAGTTTTCACTCATTTGCATCTTGTATTTTATTCTGAGATCAGTTGTCAGTAAGTTTTGTATGTGGTATGAAGAAAGATAACAGGTTAAGCTATTTAGACAATAGGGTAATCCTTTGTTCCAGCACCATTTTTTTTAAATGGTTGTTTTATCTTCATCAAACTACCTTGGAGCTCTTGTTAAAATTGGCCATATATTTATAGCAGTATATCCTCTATTGTATCCCATTAATATGTGTATATCTTTACATCAATTCAACATTATTTTGATGACAGAGGTTTTTCAGTAAATGTTAAATTTTTTCCCTGAAATGCACTTGTTTTAAAAATTGTTTTAACAATCTTGTGTTTTATATTGGCCGTGAATACTCATATCTTGCTAATCTCATTTATTAGCTCTGCTATCTTTTTTATGAATTACTCAGTTTTCTGTATAGACATTTTTTGGGGTATCTTTTTTGTAAACTATTCAGAATTTTCTGCATTAGACATTTATATCATCTGCAACCAGTCTTAATTGTTGTTGTCTTACTTAAATACTGTTAATTCATTTTGCTTGTCTTTTTGTAGTGCTTAGAACCTCTAGAACAAATGGTTAAAGTGAACATCTTTGCCTCATACCTGATCATAGGTGGAAAATTCACATTCATAATTAAATACAATGCTAACTATAGGCTTTTCATTGTTGAAATTTACTTGGTGAGGAAATTCTTTCCTACTTTTAATTACTTGAGTGCTTTTTCATTAAAAATTATGTTAAATCTTAACTATTTTATGGATCTATTGAGCTGATTG